CTGTCTGTTTATTCGCATTCAGTTGCCTTAATTGTGTAAAATTCTTGGTAGAACTTTTTTCGATATTGCAGCGGTCAGCTCACTGGGTACGGTGGAGCGCGCTCGATCGCATTTGCGCGATCGCTATCGTAACGAAGTTTGAAAGTGCTGTTATGAATCCAGCTCATCAATGACGTGGATATTGGTCGATTCGACGTACTTGTATTGCATTGCAGCTCAAGTTTTGAACTACACAAACGCTTCTAATTGTCAAGGTTGTCAATGATTTCCTCTGTTCAGATGACCAGGCGCTCTTGTACGAATACGCAGAATGCCTAGCAGCACAGGCTTTTCTTCGGATAGCGCATCTGAGCTACTCCGTCAGACAACGACCGAACGCCGAATTCATATCTCCCACAGGTTACTATCTAATTCTGTTTTTTTCTTTTTTTTGGCGGCGCAATTGATGTTAAATCTCATGCATTTCTTTAGGGAAGGTACCCCTCCTAAAAGTTCGCCGAACATTGGTTCCTGAATTCAGCGGCATAGTGGATTTTGTTGCCAAGAAGGTTTGTGGTTGGAAATTTTGTACGTTTTGTTGACGATCTTCCTGTCACTGTTTATATTATATCAGGGAATCAAATTATGCGCTCACTTAAGCGACACCCAGGTTGCAGAAATGCGCGCACACATGTCACTGATGGACGTTTTGCTTCGCAACGTTGAAGTAAGAGTCATCCTTTGCTCTTCTTTTTGTAATACTTCAATGGTGTGGTCACTAAATTGTTACTTGTTGAATTACGGTGACTCTAAGTTTTTTTTAGCTGTACATTACGTGGAAACACGATGAGACGTATAGCCAGCTTACGCGATATCGCTACGGTTCTGTCTACAAGTGGCCTTTAAACTGGATTCTACCTGCAATGAAAAGAAGAGAAATACTCACAAAACTCCAGGACAACGGCTGGGCTGACAAAGTAAGCAGTTGTTAGTGTAAGAGTCTATTATGAAGTCACTAAATGTGGCCAAGGATGACAGAAATCTTTAACATTGTTTTTAAGCTTAGGCGTTTAATTTGCGTCGGGGCGTCCACAGGTGGTTTTTAGGCGGGTCCGTTAGCGACTGCGTATGAAGGGATAGTAATCGATTAGTCCATGTAAGCGTTCTACCCATTTTACAGTCGTGCAGAGATGGTGAAAGCTGTGCGGACGTTGGTGACGATGCTGTGGACGTTCGTCTAGACGATAACTACCGGTCTCTATATGATAGTCGCTGGCGGCCTCCGTAGTTAGGAGATGTGGATGACATCAAAAATCATAATGTGCCGATTGGCGGCTGACGCAAGTATTGAACGCGGACCAGGATGAATGATACAATAGGACCTTAATGTACAATCTTTCGTCTTTGTATAGCGCGGTAACCCACTCTTGTAGGTTGTCTTTAGAGAAAAGCAGTCACCCGGTTGAGTCTGCATTCGGAGAGGATGGATTGCCCCCGATCTTGTCAATATTGTTGAACACCCGGGAAGTTTTCCCGCCTTTTTGCCTTTGTTTAGGCTCCTAGCTATGCAAAATACATGGACTGCAGACTCGTCGGTCCACTGGTCAAGCTTTTCCCTTTTCATTCGTTTTGCTGTAACAACCGTTCATTGCCGCAGTTCGCGATGCGCAGTTTATCATGAGAGTGCTGAATTAGGCGTAAAAGACTATCTCAGCGTACCTGGACAACTCACGAATAGTGGACTAAGTGCTAACCATTACATCACCTCCGCATTGAGTCACATTCCCCCTTTAGCTTGATAGTTATTTTTTTTCGGCAAGAAACTCAGCATCACCGTGATTCTCATCTCTACCCCATCCTTTGTGTCAGATGCTTTGCAGGAGTGTACAAGAAGTAGGGGAGATAGATTCTCAGACAGATGTATGGAACAATGTGCTAGTATATCTACGACTTTTTTCAGGGAGTGGATGAAGTGCTGGAGCAATACGATAGAGCCTTGCGAGCGTTATCCTCACAACTGGGCTCAAAACCATTTCTATTTGGGAATCAGCCGACGGAGGCGGATGCCCTATTGTTCGGGCATTTATTCACAATAATCACCACCAAACTGCCATGTATGGACCTGAAGAACGCCATACTTAGTTACGGGAATCTTCAGGAATTCTCGACTCGATTTGAAACTGAATATTTCAAAATATAGATTCGGTTGTCTTCGTGTAGCATTCCTAGTCATGGCAGGAAAGCACCGCGGCCGACAGCTGAGTAACGTGGTTGTTGTCCATTAGGATGAGTACATAATAGGGTGTTTTAGAGAGCTAACGGCATGCAATTTTGCAAGCTATTCGTATTTTTGTGTCTTAACGATATCAGAGTTGCTTTCTTCAGGACATCAGCGGCACTGTCATTCATGAGAATTCTTATAGTTGCTGTTATTAATTAATGAATGTCATCGCTCTTGTATTTATGCATTGACGGTTTCCAAGTGTATGAAAGTTTCCAGATGGATTATTGAGTTGGTGTCCACCTTTCCCAGACACATTTCTAGTTTACTTGCGCTTTTATTCGAACCAGAGACATGAAGGCATTCTAGGTGCCAGTTTCCAAGAGCGTTTTTTCCTAGTCATCGCTGTAAGGCTACGTTCATACTCTGCGGCAGCGCCCACTACGTCTACCAGCATCAGCGTTCACCAGCGACCGGGAATAGAGGGTGTGGAAGTAGGAGGGTAGCAAACAGCTGGATTAGGCGTCGTGAAATTGCGGCGTGTGCAGCCGCACCGCACAACTGCTAAAGCACAGAATT